GATATGCAGTGGTCATCATGAGACACTGCAAGAGCTGTGTGACAGTACCAAGTATTCTGTATCCCAATGTCCTGAGATGATGGAGGAATGTAATCTGTGTGAAGTCTAGGTGGTAGGGGCTGGGATGGGGTTTTAACAGAGCTTCTCTAATGCTTCCCGCAAAGCAAATGTAATATTAAAAGTTAAACATAAACATTTAGTAAGATACAGTTGAAGGCAGTGGTCATTACCCCATAATGACAAAAGAGGGGAAGAAATAAACAAAAGGGAGAGTTTAAGGTAGAGTGGGATTATGTTATAGAAATGCTTCAAACTGGAGAGCTACTCAATGTAATTTACTGCACTGTTCACAGCAGCTGCGTGATGTCACCATTAGAGCGAAGACATCAGATAAGGCACCAAAGGTGGTGGGGTGCAGATGAGATCTTCATGTTCAGAAGCGATGAGACTTCAGGAGGAAGGATCTGAAGAACAGGATTTTACAGGTTAGCTGCTTGGTACAAAGGGGAGGAGAAGCAATCCACAATCTTTCCCACACCATCACCCCAGCATCATATCGCCATCTTCTTTATATTTCTCTTTGTGGCATAAACATGTGCTGTAAATATGTGGGACATTAATCAGTGATTTTGATAGCAACTTTTTTTTTTTTTTTTTTTGTTTGCTGGGTAGAACAAAGTGACTTCTGCTGCTCTCAGAGCAGATCAGAAAAGCAGTGATCACTGTGAGCACAAACTGGAGAGGGAAAATGGTGTTGGAGGCTGGGATGAAAAGAGGGATTCCAGCTTGGGGAAGGAGCAGACTCAGAACTTACCTCCATTATGAACAGAAGAAAGCTGAATCAACGGGTTACAGAATGTAGACTACGTAAAATGGTCTTGGGAATTCTAATTCTCATATCAGGATGCTAGAAATTTCATTCACTTATGCTACAGTACACCATTCTAAGAGTATGCCACATTGCTTTTGTTTTCCATAATTGTGAAATGAGGTATTTATTTCTGGCAAGGGAGGGTGTTAAGCTGTTGTTATCTTGGATCTTAACCAGTCAGTGTCCGTGTATGCATAGGCAAGCATATATTGACATGTTTTCTCCACACTGAAGCTGGAACTTCATGCTATATAGAGGCTATGTTGAAAGTCAATTTACGGCGTGATTTTCCTTCACCATTTGGAATCTCTGGTTCTACAGGCTACTGTGTCAATGTATTTCACTGATTTTTCTTATGCCTTCAGCTACTTTGTAAAACACCACCTCCCTACCATCAGAAACCATCAGAGAACTACAAAAGATATATTGATGCAATTATACTAATAAAAGTATTTCAGTGAACAGTAATGAACTTAATTAAATCCTGAAATCTGTTAGTATTAACTTCTCTTTCAGTACACATAGTTGCTGTAGCTACTGCATAATTAAATGTAATGCTATAGTTTCCACTTAAATTGTAGTAACCTCTATTTTATAGGTGGTGGTTTTATATTATTATTATCATCATCATCATTTCTGGGACTAGCTTAATGGCTTTCCTAGGGGATTTACCTTCTGCCTTCTACCTTCTCCAGGAAATAGTTACATTATTTGGAGCCTCTACAGGTAAGAGAACTGGCAGCACATCCAGTCTAAAATCTGGATATTTTTATGCTAACATATCTTTAGGTCATTCTAGTTTCATATACAACTGTTGTATGAGCATCACTAAGCACTAGCATAGTCTCTGATATAGAACAGTGACTACAGTAAGACCCCAGAGAAACATGTAATTTCTTCTGTGTTGCAGTTCCACAAAAGGGCTGAGTACAGGTTAAGTTCAAAAATGCAAGATTTACAACGTGGTTTTGTTTAATTTATGCAACCCCCTGTGTGAATGATTCTTTTAACCACTTTCATAGCTGTTGAGCTGTGTAATAATACATACTTCTTGACTTCACAGATGTGCTTTCTCCCAACCAATCACGTTCCAAATTTTTCACAAATGTTACAAACTTCTAATATGTGAAATGAAATTACTGAAGTAAAAAGACGTCTAATCGTAAATGCTATTAGATTCTAAAATATTCACTCCCTTAGCCTGGAGAAATAGCAAAATGTAAATATTGAGGCTTCTCTACCTAGTGGAGACATTGGATTATCAGACTGGAAAGTAGAACCATTTTTACTACCAAACATAAAAGCATAATTTACATGGAAATTCTGTATATAGTAGGGCATCCTCCTTCCCTGTTTCACCTGTTCTCAGCTGCAGCACTTGTGTCTTCAAGAACCTGAAATTTGCATGTTTACATGCTTTTTTTTACCTTATGCTTTTAGCATTCACATTGAGCTCTTACAGGATCCTGTAAAAGCAAATCAAAGGGAAAGGCATTGTTTGTTAGAAGGTCATGCAAGCAAGGTCATGGTGATTAGCATGCTTTATTTATTGACATGTTAATAAATATATTATCTGTGCTGTTGATGATTTGACATTATTCTGGCGCATAGTCAAATTGTAATACATGTAAGAAAAGAGATTAGTGTCATTTTCTGGCAGAAGAGTTGCACAAAAAGCAGGATGATTCCCAGCGGCCTCCCATGGGTTGTCTTCCTAGGATACCCTGCATAACTAAGTCTTCTGAAACTGCAGCATGTCCAGTGATTCACCATCATCACTAAAAGAGATGCAGTTAGTTGGATAAGGACACTTGCTTTTCTTTCAATGTTTTTATTTATGCTGTTATTCAGTATCAGTATTAATTCTATTAGTACACTTCAAAACCACAGAAGTTCAGGAAATAACCCTTGCCAACTAATCTCATTTGCTATCGCTTGAACAGTAAGGCAGTTATTGCAAAATCGTAACACTTCACTGTTCAAACAGACAGGATTTTTATGGCTCTCCAACTGAATTTTGCTCCTGCCACTTATTACAGAACATTACCTTTAAGAGAGACTTGCAGCTGGTATTGATGACAGACAACAAGACATTTGTCACCTATCTTCCTGGGCAACAATTATCCAGGTGCAAACACAAATTACCAGATGCTCATTGGAAGGAAAAAAAGGCAACTGTTACTTGTTAGTGAACAAATGCACTCCTCAGGTGGTTTTGCATACATGAAATTTCCAACAGGCATCAGAATCAGGCAGCTAAACCACCTTGGAGACAGCTGTTTCCACAGGCTACATTGGGAACTACATATTGGTAGGATGTGGAGAAATGTTGCAGGAATACTGAAGTGTGTTAAGAGCTGCAGAAATTGGTAACTTGGAATTTGTCACCCACCTGCTTTAAGATTTAAATTAGGTTGCACTTGGGTCAGATAATATTGTGGAGAGGTCCAGAATGTGCTTCTTCCATGCAGTCTTCCCTACCACTCTTTAAACATTTGTTATCTCCTCAGGCTGATTTATTTTGAATGTGTCCTCAGAAAGAAAGTACTAACAGGACTAGCAGCTGCATTCAGCAGTATGCTTCCATGCTTTGGCAATTTTAAACAACTACACTTCTCCTCCTGGGTCGCAAGACAATCAACGTATGTGCTATCAGTACCAACTGTTTCTTAATTAATAAAACAGTTGCAAACATTGCTAGAGAAGAAGTCTTAAGGACTGTTTAATTACATAAGCTGGCAATAATAGCTGCTACTAAGAATATTCTTGACTAGAATGTGTCTGAGAGGGCCAGTGAGCGTTCATATGACAAGAGTAGAATATCCTGTTCTGCTCAAGAAGCTAGGGCCATTTCACTGGATCTCAATTTCAGGAGACTGCGAACGCAGAAGGCTCAGCTCATCTCTCAACTGCTTTGGTGAATCACAGCTATTTGGTGACAGGACCAACAGCTTATTTCTGAGACAGCTCTGCAATATAAAACTGTAAGACAACTGAACTCACGTATTCGTATTGTACTTCAGTAGAACTAACTGTAAGACATGAATAATTTTTCACCTTATTTGAACTACCACTCTAATCTAGAGCCAGCAAGTAACTACGTTGTTAACCAAGGGCTGTAGCTTAGAAGTGACTAAACAGTAAATGCTGCAACCTTGTTAAATCATGAAAAATTTATTTTCATTACATATATATGAAGGTAAAAGATTTCAGTCAATAGTGTTTTGAACAAGCATTTCTGACATGAACCTGTTAGTGTAGCTAGGCTGAAACTTAATGTAAAGTTAGTGTTTTGCCTTTATTTAGTAATTAATTTCTAGTGTGTGTATATACAGAATTCATTTCCTGTTAGAATACCAGAGACAGTAATATTGCAACATTTACATTCCTCATATAAAATGGTGTAATATACATTTCCAGCTCAGTGTAGATATATAAATATGTACAAAATAAACATTATTGTAATTAATATATTCAGACCAGGTATCATTTAGCAACATCAAAAGCAGATGCACATAGATTTAAGTGAAAATGGTGAAAAACACCTTTATGACATTAGTGACCATTATTTGCATATATAAAGTAGTACAGATAAAGGCTCCTCTTTCAAGCCTTCTGTGGGCATCCAATAACTTTAGTAAAAACAAAAGTAATTGAGAAGCTTAAGATAATTATATATATATATATAATGTGTCATGATCAGATGGTTTACTAGGGTCCATCTTGATCACAAATGGATAACCATGTAAAACATACACATTTGTTCAGAGCATAAAATATTGCACAAGAGCAATTTCTTTTGAGGAAAATAATTCCTGTTTGTGAACAGCAAAAATGGTTCTCACACATTAAAGAAATTATATATTTTCAGTTTCTAAACCAAGGAACATTCAGTAATACTGTCAGAACTGTCATCCATCAACTTCTTCCCAGTCTGTTTTATGGCAATGGTATATCATTAGCAAGATTTGGCAAAGAGAGAAGGCAGATAGACAGTACATGTATATATTTATCACAGGCCAGACCAGATCCAATGGTTACTTAACTGAAAGTATCCAACAGTTGGTTTATCTGACAATTTCACCCTTAAAAGAAATACCAGAGTCTTCAATGCTAGTCACAGTGATAATCACACAGTAGTAGAGTAAGACTCCATTCTTCTCTGCTTGGAAACCATCTTGTCTGAATTCTCAGTCTGAAGGGCACTTTCCTCAGCATCACTGTCACTGCTGTCTACAACTGTGTGATCCAAAGCCATCTGACCAGTCCTCCTATGTAGATGAAAGTTCACCCCACTCTCCTGTATGGAGTTAGTTATAAAATCTTCATCAGAAGAATGAAATGATTCATCATCTCCTGTGAAATGGTTGACAATGTGAATCCCATCAAAAGTGGGTTGGTCTGAGAAGTCTCTCTGGCCTTTTAGACATTTGATCTGTTAGAAAAAGCAGAAGTTAACAGTTAATCAGAGCTGAAGAGTCCAGTAGTGACAAAAACACCTCCAAAACCCCCAAACACCCACCTCCAAAACACCACCCCCCCCCCAAAGAAACCCAAAACAAGAAAAAAATAACCCAAAATGCATTTCCAGAAAACATCTTATTGATGTCTTACTGGATCAAATTAAATGCTAGATTCTAGAAGTAGCACATTTGAAACTCAGTTGGAATGAGAACAAAGCGATTTCTCACTTCTGGCTGCCCAAGGAGAGACCTTGAAAGAATGCCTTAAATAGTACTTGGAATTTTCCAAAATTCTCCTTCTACTCCTAAAGTATTTCAGTTCTAAAGCTTAATAACTGAGGTACCTAGAATCACTCAGGACAGATTCTTCCAGGCTATTTATTGCATCTTTAATATCCCCACAAGGGTGGCTTATAGTCAGTTTTCTAGAGTGACCTGTTTGTTTTGACATGCTACTTTTACAGTTCCATTCTTTCCCTTATCACCTAACTTCTCATTTGAAAAAAGCCCTCCCTCAATCCCAAACAGCAGGGTCCCAAGTGAATATTGCAGTTTCACAAAGCCATAAGGAAAAAAACCAAAACCGAGAAGATGCTTAGTTCTCTTCACAAAGATTTAGTGTCTTTTAATTATCTAGATCAGACTCAGTAAGATTTCAAATCAAGAAGTATGAAACTTCTCTTTGTACGGCATAAATAGATTGTAGTTCCTATTTTAAGAGAACATCAAACAAGATGAAAATGATTTTCAGACCATGACAGATACGATAACATTTTAATTCAGAGTGTGCTGCAGAGTGATAAAGTGTTACAACCATGCACTCAAGCTATTCAAAAGTAAAACCTGAAACTCTGAAATCTGGCAAGTCCCTGTTAATTCAGGGAAAATAACTGAACTCACTGAAGTAATCCTGAGGTGTGGGGTTTTTTTATTAGTTTGGTTTAGAATTTCAGTTTTGCTAGCTTTTAGTAGCAACTACATCAGGGTCAGTTTGACAGTTTAAGAGTATTAAGCTAAGAATTCCAAGGATGCAGAAAAACATAAAAAATGCATTACAACAACTTCCTAATGTCACTCTGGAAGCTTAAAAAGGAAGATGAACCAAGTGCTATTTTGTAAGTGACTTTTCACAGTGAGAAAGACCTGGAAAACAGAAAGAAGAAAAAGCCTGAAGAGCTTCTTCACACAAACCTATTTGTAGTTTTAGAAGTCTGAAGCAATATTCATTTTAATAAAAGTGCATGTATGTCCTTGCTATTGACACCAACAGAAGATTTTACCTGTCCATTCAGGGAAGAAAGAATCTCTGTACTTACCAAGGGCTTGTGCAAAAGATGAGAATAAAAAGGAGTTGAAAAAAGATCAAAAGTCATCATCATATTAGAAGCCATCAAATCAGATATTAGCAGCATATAAAAGCTCCAGCTTTTAATCTATATCAAAACATTCCTGTTAGGAATATGGGTACATGCTGTTAATCTAAACCTTGGTGGTAACTACATGTACTAAAGGTTAGTTTTCTGCATTTTCTTCACATACTCATAGGCTGCAGTTGTTTCATGACAACCTTGCTGTGTAAGGGCAAGCAACACAAAAAAGTTCCACACTTACACAGCATAATATATGATGTAAGCAAAATCAGCTTATACCAAATATTAGATATTGGACAGTAACATGTATGTGGAATAAATTTTTACTAGCTTACACACCAAGATACAGAAAGCCTGATACAGAGATTCTTGTACTAGTTAGAAATACTACCCCTCAAAATATCCTGCAATATGATCAGATTAGCTGCTGCATGAAGTTTCCAAAACAGCTATCAATTTTAGTCACTAAGGAAAGAAACCACAGAAAAACAAAACAAAACCCAACAATTTCTCTCCACCCTCACCACAGAAAAAAGTCCCACCGTACAAGCAATTACAAATTTCAATTAGAGTAAGAAATTACACACTTTTAGGTATGCATAGTTAAGCCACTGCTTCACCTGCAATTATAAAGCTGATAGTCAATGTTAGTTGTTTTGAACTTTCAGAAAGCCAAGCCAATGACCTCAACTGTTTTCCTGAAGTCTTCAACACATGATACCTTTAGATGAATGTATTTGGGTAACATAACAAAATCATGGCTTCATGGTTTTAGGCAGTAGCCTTTCCAAACACCAAATGAGAGTCTGTGGAAAATGATGGTGAAACAATCATGAATAGACAGAGTCTTTGCCAATTCCTAAAGTGAGTCTGGGAAAACAGTGTGTTGCTATCTTTTGTTATTCTAATGAAAGGATGCACAGTCTGTGACCTTCCAGAAACACTTCTTTTGACCTGCAGCTTTACACTTGACTGCCATTTTTCTCCAGTACTCTTCAGATGCAGGAAGAAACATCAGTGAACTGTAGAGAATATATCTGACAAGTCTATTGACGGCCATATAATTTCATTAACTTCTGTCACAGCTTAAAAAACATTCATCTGAGCCAGGAGCACAGACAAACACTGTAGCATAGAATTTGTCTGTATCATGGGGATGGACAGGCTAGAGAGCAACTGCTGAAGAGGACACAGGGGTCTTGACACACAAGGCTAAATACGAATCAGCAGTGACCCTGAGCAGGGATGAAAACCAACAGCATACTAGGCTATATTGACAAGGGCATAGCCATCATGGGAACCAGTTCTTATGTGGCATCTGTGCTATTCTGCACTTGTTACCTCACTCCTTCCTCAGCACAAGATATTCATTAGTAGATTCAGTGGGGAGGCAACAAGACAATTACGGGACAGGAACTTACACCTTGAGATAACCAAGAATTAGTTCTTTACTGAATTGTATGGTGGGAGAAGAGACATTAATCATAATGCAAAACACAAGGTTGTGTTTGAATATGAAAGGAAAATAGTTGCTACAAGGCTAGTTAGGAATTAGAACAGGTTGTTTAGAGACTGTAGACTCTCCATCCTCAGTGGGTTTCAACACCCAACTGACAAAGCCCTAATCCCTGCTTTGAGTTCAGTATTGATTCTGTTTTGAGCAGGCAGTTAGTCTAAAGGCCTCCCAGGATCCCTTCCAACCTGAAAGACAGACTACAGTTCAGTGAGATGTGTGAAAAGCATGGGCAGTGGGATGCATGTTACTGTTCTTATGAGTAGCCATTTTGAGTTTGAGAAATTGAAATTCAGGAGCATTTCTGAAGGAGCCTGATAATCTGCAGTTCTGTAACTGCCAAAATTACTGCACTTCTTAAAAATGTAAATGCTGTCATGTGAATCCAAATGTCTTTACACTAAATGCCAGTACACTGATTTATCACAAAACCTAGTCTTCAAAAGAATGTTATTTTTACTTTACAATTAGAAATTTGTCACTTTACTCTTGAAAATATTTAAGTTCTTCAATTGGAGGTAGAATCTGATTTGCACCTTAATTTTTGTTTTTAAACACTAACATCGATTTAAATAACTAATCTTCAAGAAATTAAAACTACCCAACAGAATAGACTGGGTACAGCTGTGCACTATTTTCAGTTTTGTGTAGTTTCAGTGTTGAAGATACTTCAGGGGCACATCAATCTAATATTTGTTTGGGAGCATTTCTGAAGAAGCTTGATGATCTGCAATTTCTGTTGCAGAAGAAAGGCTTCGTAAGGCTTCTCAAAGCATTTGGAACTACTTCTAGCCAGCATGTGCTCCAACGCAATCAGGTACCAGTGGATCTAATTCCAGCTTAAGGGTCTAAAAATAAAGGTTTCTTAAAATGAAAATTCTGTACTCGCACATACCTCTGCAGCCTAGCAAGTGAGATTCTGCATTTCTAATAGGAAAAGCAGAATCTTTTTTCAAGATGGGAACACAGGTGTTCTACTGGCTCAGTGCAACGGTCCATCCACTTAGTGTTCTGTCTCCAACAGTGACAACAGGACTTCATGTTGTTTTATTTTTAAAGGAAAGCATGTGAATATGATCAGTTTTTGCAATCCATTCCCTTCATATTGCTAAGCGCCCCTCATTTGTCCAGAAACTGTTGTAGCAGATACGAGAATGCATTTCTTCCTAGGTGCTTCAGCATCCATTTATAGACCAGCTGTCTGGTCTATATTGATTTCATTTTTTATTTGCTGTCTACCTCTACAGCTTTCTGTGACAGTAAGTTCCAGAAATTCCTTTATTTGTTTTAAACTAATCTCCCCGTTTCAGGAATTGTCCTCAAACTCTAGTAGTGCAGGAACCACTGGTGAAAAGCAGTTCTGCAGTCACGATCCTTTAATTTATGTCATAATGCCTCCTTCAGCCTTCTCTCTAAAACAGATGAGTCCTAAAGCCTTTTTAGTGTCATGAGCAGGCAGTGCTCAAGATGACTGATCATTTTAGTTGCCCTTTAGCTTCTCTACAGAGTTTTTTTCACTCTCTACATCCATCTTGAGGTGTAAAGACCAAGGTTTTGTAGTGGCACTATAAACCCTTTTATTTTGTTTCTAAGATACTTCCTATTTGAAGTCCAACATTGTCTTGTCTGCTTTAGCTGCTGCTGCATGCTAAGCCAATATGTCAGAGGACTCTTCAGCAACAACTCTCAAAAATATCTTTCCTGATCTGTAACTGCCAATTCTGTGTTTGCAATTGTGTAGGTACGGCTTAGATTTTGCCACTTCACACTGAGGTTCATCTGTCATCTTTTTAAGAGAGACTTCTTGAGATTCTTGCTGTCAGTGTTCTATTTGAACATGGAAAAAGAGCTTAGTAGGAAGTAAAGCATTATGCCAAGATCTTGTTATTCATGTAGCAAAGGATATCAAGATAATGCAAAATCTGACTAAGGACTTGGGAGTATGAGGGGGGCATACATAGACCCAATCCAAACACAGCTTTCCCCTCTCCCCAAACCCTAGTTCTATGGTATCCTTATCATCCCACCTGCAGGAAAAAGAACAGCCCTTTTTCTTGCAGCAATGTTGAGCAGAGTATGGACTTACACC